TCTCCCTCCCCACTCCCCTTACCAACCAACCTGACATGGCAGAAAAACATGTCAAAACATAAAAAGAATAACAAAATGACACTCCAAACAATGGTGATTTCACACTTATCAGCAGTCACGCTAACCATGACTTTCTCATGTCCCTAAGACCATCTATTGTTAGAGATGTATGGGACTATTGTCCTGGTACATTTGAGTCCTATATAAGCTGCTTTCAGTATACACTTTAGGTAATCATGCAGTGTGTGAATGTAAGTTCCCCATATTTGAAAGAACTGTTTGATTGTCTTCTCCTCCATCCAGGTGGTCTTCAACCAATCCATAGAAAAAAGATACAACAAAAACAGTTTTATTCATTTTAGTCCTGTAGAGAACTAACACAGGATTTTCACATTTTTCACCAGGATCATCAAGCATGAAAAAAATTGTGATTTGGTTATCCTAGAGAAATAAGTGAAGTGATCCCGGGCTAAAACTAGCAACAGGAGCACTTGGAAGAAAGTTCTGCTGAGAATATGCTAATGCGGAGTAATGTCTATAAAATAGCTTTAATGGGGGTATCTACTCAAAGGTATGATCCCAAACAAAAGAAAAAGAAAGAGGCCTGCCAGCCAGCCACACCAGTCTGCAAGCCACAGCTGCCAGCCGCAGCCAGCCAGCCACATTTAGTTCCTGATTGCTATAGCCACTTTTTTTTCCTATTGTGAGGGGCATCTGCATGCCATATGAACAATAGGCAGTACTTTCTCTCCATTCCCTGAACAGTTCAATAAACAGTGAACCAGGCTGTGTATAAACTGACATTATCCATAGTATAGGTACTATCAGTTGAAAGAGCAGTTTAAATCATCCAATGATAATTCTGATAATTCTTTTCTGGACAAGTAAATGCTGTTTTCAAAGACCAGATCGGAATATCTCATTTCATCAGCAATGTTCTAATGGACATGTGACTTTTTTAGTTTTTATAACAATATTTTTTGGTTTTTAAAAAGAGATTAAAAAGAGATTTTTTAATCTATTATATGCACTAGAAATTATTTTGTCAACATTTGCATAGACTCTTCAAATACAGTCTCTTTTTATATTTGTATTACATTATTCATGCTTTATCCCACTCACAACCACTGTTTGCATCATGAAAATAATAAATGCTTTATTTCAAGTGTACAGTATTGCAGTGACAAAGTATATGGAAATAAAGCAAGGAAGCATAAATAATACCCCACAACTGTAGGTCTGAAGGATTCCAATTACTGTAATAAAACTGCAATGTAATTCTGTGTCTGCATGTAAGAAAAGCAAACATAAATGCTCAGAAAAAGAGACCTCAGGAGAACACTGGATATAATTCATAGGGTTAATGTCAGAGGGCTAAGTCTCTTTACTATGAGAACTTTATTACAGAGCTATGCCAATTTCTATCCAGACATGGCATTCCAGAGTAATTTCTGAGAGGGACTCCTTCCCACACTTAAATACAAACTCATATACAAATTCATATACAAAGTCTTTCTGAGATAGAAACCCTTTCTAAGATACAAACTCTTTATAGATGAATGAATAATTCGTCGTTAGGAAATAGCAATCACAAAAACAATGTATTTCAATTTTCTTTTAATTGTGAATCAGAAACAAGGAAACCCATATAGAATATCATTTGTAATATAAAGATGTTATAACACAAGATGCATGAGAAGCAGAGGCGGCTCTAGACTTTATGAGGCCTTAGGCGAAACTCAAACATGAGGCCCAACTAACAAAAAAGTGAAAAAAATTGAGTTGCAATACATGCACACTGTCACATATATACATTGTTGCATAGTTTACCTGTGTATGTGCCTGGGAGTGTGTCTGACAGAGAGTATCCTTGTGTATGTGAATGTATGTCTCTGTGAGCATGTCTGCGTTTTTGTCTTGGACCTTATGTGTATGGGGTAGCTGCTTGAAGTGTGTTGTAAATATGGGGGACTGCCTGTAGCCTTTGTGCATTGTGTTTATGGCAAAGCTATGTTTCTTGACTGTGTGTGTATGATGAATGTCTTCAGCTGGTTACTGTGACAAGGTGGGTAAAGGGGTACCAGTGGCAGGGAGAGTGTGACAGGGCGAGGGGGTAAATGGAAAGTGGGGGTTGTGAGAGAGAATGAAGGACAGGGAGTATGACATGGTTTGATGAGGGAGTGTGACAGGGCGAGTGGAGGTAAGTGTGTCAAGGCAATTGTGGCATGGTAGGAGGGACGAGTGTGACAGAATTAAGGGGGATTAATGTGACGGTGAGTGTGGCAGAGTGAGGGCAGGTGAGTTTGGAGGGGGTGAGATTAACAGGATTAGGAGTTGTTAATGTGAGTGTGGATGCATGAAGAGGCTGACAGTGTGGGGGGGTGATGACAGTGTAGGGAGGGGTGACAATGGTGAGAGGGAGGGGTTATGGTGAGAGGGGGTAGTGTGAGAGGGGTTATGTGAGGGGGGAGGTGGGGTGATGGTGGAGAGAGGGAGGGTGATGGTGAGGAGGGTGATGGGAGGGGGGTGATGGTGAGAGGGAGGGTGATGGTGAAAGGGAAGTGGGTGATGGTGAGAGGGAGGGGTGATGTGAGAGGGAGAGGGGTGATGGTGTGAGTTAGAGGGGTGATGGTGTAGGGAATGGGTGGTGATTGGAGGGAGGGGTGATGTGAGGGAGGGAGGGGATGTGAGAGGGAGGGTCATGATGAGAGGGAGGGGATAATGTGAGGGGGGTGAGAGGGAGGGGGTGAAAGGGAGGGGGATGATGGTGAGAGGGAAGGGTGGTGATGTGAGGTGGGGTGATGGAGTGAGGGAAGAGGGGTGATGTGAGGGAGGGGGTGATGTGAGAGGGAGGGGGGTGATGTTATAGGGAGGGGGTGATGGTGAGGGGGATTGATGGTGAGGGAGGGGGTGGTACGTTTGGCTCCCTGGTGGTCCGGTGGGCTCCATGGTGGTCCGGTGGCCATTACATCCGGTCTGCAGCTCCGCAGTGAGCAGAGCTGCAGATCATGTATCTCGCGAGACCCGTCAGTGCTTTGCCGTGGTAACCCGCGATTGGCCAGTTCTCGCAAGACACATGGTCTGCAGCTTTGCTCACTGCGGAGCTGCAGACCTGTGTCTGCGATGGCTGGCCGGGCAAACGGGAGGGGCCTCACACCTGGCGGCATACTGAGCAAGCCGCCGGGCCCCCTCCTGGTGTTGGTTTCTCAGTCACTGACCGAGGACCTAACACATTCTGCCCCCAGGCGGTTTAGGCTGCCGCGAGGCCCCAGCCAGCGGGAGGCCTTAGGCGGCCACCTAACCCGCCTAATTAGAGAGCCACCTCTGATGTGAAGCACCAGCTTCAAATACATAGTTGCAATGACGTTGTCCCACTGTTTGGATGCATGATGCAGAAAAAAGGCAGTGTTAACATTACAGCACAGGAACACCTCTAGTTGCCACTCCTCAGACGGCCACTAGAGGTGCTCCCTGGTTCAGACCATTCAGTGTCCCAACGCTCTGCAAGGAGAGGCTGTCCTTTCCCCAATCCTATGGGAAAGCATTCTAATTTGCTGAGATCATCAATACTGATCTAAACAAAGGAGGAGGGTTGGGGCAGCACTAGACGTCAGGAGCTCTGTGCAGCACTGGAAAAAGGTGAGTTAATCACCTTTCTCAACAGAAGTTAGGGGGGTTAACCACCTAAATCGTGGTTTGAGAACTGTAGTGTCAGGAATACACGTTTGTGTTCCTGACACTATAGTGCACCTTTAACATATTTATAGCTCAGGCTGTGCATGACTATGGTATGATGAATTCAATGCATAGTCATCTCACACATACTACAGGTGTCAGCATCTTATGTATTGCCACCATTTCATACTACTTGATGACAGTGAATTAAGTAGGTTTAACCTTTAAAATACCAGTTGGTTAGTTAACATATTCTACAGTATAACAGTTGTAAATAGACACGTGCAATTCATTTCATTCCGAATGTCAATTCGGACGAATTTCGGGCAATTCGGACATTCAGATAATAGCTGAATTGGCGAAGTTCCGAATTGCCGAAGTTCCGAAACTGACGAATTTCCAAAGTGCCAAAGTGCCGAAGTTGGCGAAGTTCCAAAGTTTCGAAGTGCCGAATTTCCGAAGCACAGTATTGCCGAAGTACTAACATACCTACCCAGTGGAAGAATGAAGAATGTTACATTGTATACAAGTTTAAATAAAAAGTATACAAACATAGCCAGGATTCAGCTGTAAGCATTTGCAACACTTACAACAATCGACTAACACACAGTCATATAAAATGTTACTTAGCTAGTCAATTGAATGACAGGAATGAATAAGTAGATAACTCTCTAATTCCCATGGTATTAGGGAGCTATCTATTAAAATGCTTAAATACCTAAAATGGTCTTTCAGCCAAATTTACTAATAGTAAAGATTACTTAGTATTGGATGTGCCGAACTGTCACATGTCTGAAATTCGTCTGTCCTAATAATTTTTTATTGTCACACAAAGTGGTTCAGTCGAAACAATTTTTTTCCCCCATGCACAAGTATAATGGATAACACTTTTAAAAAGCATTTTAGGGGGGGCAGAGCCTAACTGCCGAGCAGGCCAGACGTGCTGTGAATCAGCTCCTACACTAAGTGACAAATTTGGGGGTAACCACCCCGAAAACAGCCACGATCCTGAGCCTGAGGGCACACAACGAGGCAGGGTTACTAAGGGGCATCGAATGCACCTACAAGACTTACACTGCCCGGGAACCTGACCAAAGCACATTGGGCCTACCTGCAACCGAGCCAGGGAGAGACAGATGCTCTCCTGGATGGTAAAGTCAGGTACAAACCCCTCTATGCACTTGCCTTCTTCCCCCCCCCCACCCCCTCTGGACCGGTGGATGTCATCCCGGTCCTCACTCGACTCTTCTAGCGACCAGCCGAGAAGACAACACAAGCCTGACCCTGGCAAGCTAAACTGCAAGCGCTCGCAGAGAGCAACCAAAATGGCGGCCGGCAACGCAACCCAGATGGCGAACACAAAACCGGCACCAACGCCACTGATTGCACCCCCACAGAGCCTAGAGGCGATACTGAACCGCTTCTGGGACACAATCATGAGGCGGCAACAAGCAGCCCGACCCATGACACTTGCACCCCTGACGAAGGGTGAGCGGCACCGCGGATGGCGGTGAGTGGAGGGTATGCCCTTGGGCACAACGTTACCTCACCTACTCACCCACATGCAACCTAGCCCACCCGGGCTGTAGGCCAAAGGGCAGAGAGCCCACAAGCATCGTCCACACTGGCGGAGGAATAAGCAGCGCAAGCGACGGAAAAAGACCAGATCCTCTGTCACTCTCACAAGTGGAGTAAGAAGATGCAGGCTTGCAAGCAAGCCTGGGGCTGGAGGGACACCCTCACTGACACCCGCACAGCAGTGGGGCACAAAAACCCGGCGCCGGACACACACCGCCTATACAAAGAGGGCATCGGGTGAAAGAAAACCTGATGGGGGCCCTGTGAACTTGATGAAACGGGACACTGTCATAACGCTAGCCCCCACATGCTATAACAGCAAGACCGCGGGACTTACTGAGCGGTTGGACACACTCGTGGACACTGAGCTTAATATTATGTATGCCTTATATCCTGCATCGCAGGTACCATGTTTCTTAGTATAACGAGTCTATTTAGCTTCCAGCGAAAATCTTTCTGAGCCTAGATGGTGCAGAGACACTTACATATGCATGTCAATATAGCCAGCTCATAAACGAAGGCACACGCTCACATACACTTGAGTCAAACCAGATAAACTTGTAGGTAAGCCTGTGACCATACTAACTGTTTAAAAAGTAAGCATTATCTTGTACAGACAGGGAAGCGCTACATATTGAAATATCCTTGATGTTTATATGTTTATATTTTGATCTTTTAAGCAACAGTCTACCTGCATGATACTCCTGGAATAGTTAGCACTAGACACCTGTATAATTCACATTATCACCAGATTATCCCATGCCCGGGTCATACATACCTGCAACCTATACATATCTTCAACGCTGCTTTTGTTATATCTCGACATGTACTACTTTAAAATATATGTGCAAGTTCTAACAAACACCCTAATGTTATAACTGCTTATGTGAACGAGCAAGTGGATTGCCTTTGGGGTACCACATGCATGTTTGTCAAACCCTTTTGCACTGCAAAAATAAAAATTTTTAAAAAATGTAAAAAAGCATTTTTTTTTTTAAAGTATGCACTAAAGGGGGGGGGGGCGGAGCCAAGCAGCCCAGACGTGTTTGGAGAGAGCTCCCATGTCTGGGGACAGAATACTGGGAATTAAACCCACAAATTCTTACCCACAAGCCGCAGACCAAGAGATCCACAACCGGGAGGGGCTGCTGCACAGAACGGTACCTCTCCCAAGCACTGGACCAGCAGACCGAACATATCGAGGCCTGCGGCCTACTCGCTACCGAGCCACGAGGAGACGGCCGCTCCATGGGCACGAGAGAAGGGAACGAAATCCCAGGGAAAAGTCTCCCGCCTCCCCCCCAGGACCGGTGGGGGTCATCCCGGTCCACACACTAGAGCGGATAATACTTAACCAAGCGCTGCACTTAGGCGCGCGGCGGACAAGAGAGAGCCACGAGGCCCGATCAAAATGTCTGACGGCATCATCACCCAAACACCGCAACAGACCCCCAGCGACTGGGAAGCAGCCTCTAATGCAAGGTTTGATGCCATGTGGGAGCAGTTCTGGGCTAAGCTAGCACATAAGCACCGGCTGCCTCAGCCACTAAATTTCGGGAAGAAACCCAGAACACCCACGGCAAGACAACCGGCCAGGGCCGTACACCCTGAGCAGCCCTCGACCGGGACAGGTATACAGGCTACACACCAGCAACAAGCCATCGCACCCGAGAGGCATGCACCCACTGCTGCCCATCGGAGCCCTGACAAGCATAGAGGTTTTGGCAACACCCCCGTGAGGAGGAAAAGCGGGAGGAGCAGACCCCAACAAGCTCGGTGTATTGGCAAAGTTATATTTGCTTTGTATCAGAGGAAAGTTAATACCTACCGATGCATGCAACTACAATCACTTACGTTCACTTACAAGACACTGTTTTGATTAGTCTAGCATACTCTAACGGCTGCCCTGCTGAAGTATCAACGATAGCCTAGCATGTTACTCTGTTTTTTCAAACACAAATATGTCTCCCTATCGATGAGAATACTCACCTGCATAACTCTGTGTACATATTTTCTTTATGTGATCCATATATTAATAGATCCATATATTACTAACATGTTACCTCTACTAATATATTTGGTGTAAATCTACTTAACCAAGCTTGTCTAAAATATAAAACTGTGCCTGTTACTTCTATGCCCCGCATGTTAAGCGAGGAAATGCCTGAGGATTGCTTTTGGGGCACCTCAGAACCACATGTACCACTCTTACGCACTGAAAAAATAAAGAATTAAAAAAAAAAAAAAAAGTATGCACTAATGTGTTAAAACTTGGGCATAGATGAGGATGAGATGTGCTGTTGATGTGGTCCCACTCAACCTGTTTAAATAAATTGAATAGTGTTTCAATCAAGCGATGAGAAGTTGACTTTTCAGAACTAGAACAACTACACAGTGTCAGCTCTCATCCTAAGATAAATCATTTAGTTTACTGCTGGTCTTTGGTGTTCCCTAACATAGTAGAGCTGCCAGCTTTGGCCACCACTGAATATGCATCCGAGTGTAATCTCTCCAGGAAACTGGGTTTGAAACTAATATCTATGCTTAGTGGAATGGATGTGGGCTGTGATGCGTGGAATTTCAGTCCTCACAATGGCCTGTCCTTCTGCAGTCCTCACAGCTCTTAGTTATGACATAAGAAGTTTCTTTTCCCATGTGGGTTAACAATAACTTCCTTTGTTTCAAGCAAAATGGGTTTAGTGGTACTAACTTAAACCGTGTTTTAAGAAACTGCATGGACCTAAGTGTAATGTGAGTCACAAATTTATTGTGTACTTTATAATGAGATTGACAAAGTGTTAGAATTGTTCGTAATGCATTCTAATTAAATATAACCGAGATAGGCATATCTATAACCTATGAAAGAAAGGTAAACTGTTATGTTTTATCCATTAAAACATTAAAAATAATTACTGAAAAGAAATCTAGAGAAAAGTTAATTCAGCTGCATTAATGTATGCTGCTATTTTAAAACCAATAAAATAACTTTTACCTGACAAATAATCATAACGATAAACATACTAAAATAAGTGGGTAAATAGCCAATATATACACAAAGTAGCAAAATTAGATGATTTTATATGTATGTTTCAATGCAATTTATTTCGTGTTTGCATGGGAAAATAAAAATCCTTGCACTGGCATGTAGATCTACATTATACTATTATTATTATTATTATTATTATTATTAAATCACAACCGAACCCCAATCCTGTACAGTGGGTTAACAAGGCATACAAGTAATTGTTGTAACAAGTTATAACAATGGATACAGATAAAGAGACATCCTACCCCAATGAGTTTATGGACTCATAACAAAGTACCAAATATCTACGGAGAAGTGAAGCTGTATGTTTAGTACAAATAGCCAAAGATAATGATTTTTTCAATATGGCATGTCATTTAGCATGTTAGTGAAAACAGAATTCTGTTCATTTAGGCCAGGCTTCCCCAAACTCCGGCCCTCAAGATGTTGCTGAACTACAACTTCCATGATTCTCAGCCTATCTATTTCATTCATTTAAGCATGGGATTTGTAGTTCAGCAACATCTGGAGGGCTGGAGTTTGGGGAAGTCTGATTTAGGCCATATCATCTTTTTTCTTTAGGCAAGAGAGCTACATTAAATTTAAAGGGACACAAACACTGTCACAAACCATGATCCTGGCATAAACTACAACCTATAGCTCTTCCTTCATTCTTTGGTTGGTAACATGAATATTTTCTAATTAGATCATAAATCTAATGGAATTTATGTAGTAGGATTAAACTCCTATGGTACCTAAATTGCAAGATCTTAGTCTTGAAGGCTAAGTTGGCATCCATACCTCAATCACTGTGTGCAATCTAGATCCAGGTGAAGTTAAATTGTCCTATATTTCATCTGATGAATTTTGAATGTTTATGATGAACTCACATGGTATTTTTTATATATACACAATACAATATCATTGTCAATAACATGACCTTAAAGTTATCATGTGCTTGTATAGGTATGGTCAATTAAAATATACCAATCTGGGTATGTTCAACCTCTCCCTTCATTTAGGTTTCTGCCTTGTTAAAATTAACTACTGCTGGCCAATGACTAAATGTAAATTATCAGCAATCTATTAATATAATGTGGAAAATATTCTTGCAGATTCTAAATGTGACGAAAACACCTTCGTCATTGCGATTTGGAGAGGCCTGCTTGCCAGGCTCTTGCCCTGTGACTATGGCCCCTGGGATATATTGCCCTTTAAAAAACACTATTTGGGCATATTGGATTTTAAAGGCACTGTTTCTGCCCCTTGGACTTTTAACTGGAACAGAGTAAAACATGTGGCGGCAGCCATCTTATATTGTCCAGCAGTGTTTTGCCGTCGAGTGTATGGAACTGATTTGGTCATGGGACCATGTGCACGGTGGGGCAAAATAAGACTTCCAGGAAATTCCTGAACCCCTGAACTGATCTGGGTGATTTTTGGATATGTTGTTCACCCAGATCGGGGCTATCAGGGGATGTGAGGGATATGTTGTATTTTGGGGTACTTTTTGGGGTTTGTAAAAATTTATGTTTTTTTCTGCTTAGAGTTAATTGAGTTAGTCCATTGTCTTAGTTAATTGTATCACAGGCAGAGGGGAGGGCTTGTGTGCTGTATGTGGGAGTGTCGGACATTGTTGTATTGTTCTGATTGGTTTGTGTGCCTGTGTTCCATCAGGCCCAGGGGGTGTGCCTCTGGCCTGAGGAATTGTATAAATTGTGAGTGCTAGCTTGCATTAAACAGACCTATTCTACCCTTCAAGAAGTCTTTGCTCATGTTTGGGGGATTGGAGAACCTCACTTTGGGGATTGCTATAATCACTATACTCCCCAGAGTATAATCACTAGCTCTTGTAAAAGCTGTTCTTGTTCCTGCTCTCTGAATTACAAGAGAGGTCTACCTACTGG